TTTGCAAAATCCAGTAATCGAGAATAATTGAAGGAGCTAAGTAGTAAGGCTTTAGGATGAGTTGGTAAATGTGGAGTTGCAGCTGCTGGTGGAATGTGATGAACGTCATGATTGTTCATTAGGATTATTTAAAGTTGTTTTGATGTTATTTATTTATTTATTCTTATTAAAATATTTGATTTTATCATGTTGGATTAGATTTGTTCGTGGTTTTATTTTACTAATTTGTCGATGTACTATTATAAAGAGCAGTACATTTAATCATTGGATGATGAATCCAATCGCAATAATCTCTCCCATTATCCTCCTCTCTCTCTTTCTCACCTCATGGCAATTCTCTCTCTCCTCTTTTTCGGTCCTCACTAGATCATGACTCCTATTAATCCCAAAATAAAACTGGGAGTAGAAAACCCCAAGGGACGTGATTTATCTCTCCTTGGTAATGCTCTGAAGAAATTTTACCTATATTTACTCGAGTACAAGGAAAAATCCTAATAAGGGTGAATGTGTTATGATCCTGTGTCAAGTTTGATATGATGCTCGATTGTTCCTACATTAAAATCGAAGGATTCATGAATTAGTGTAAGGATTTTATAGTTTTTCTCTTTCACGCCAAGAGAAATTTAATAGAATATGGCAGTTTATTCCTTTCTTCCTTTGTTAATTTACGACCTTGGGAACATCTTATCCATTTAAAACCTTTGTTAATTTAGGTTTATCTCTTTTATTTCTCGTTGGAATTTCCTCATCAAATTTATGTTATTCTTTTATTGTGTTTTTGTCACCCTATTTTGTAAAAAAATTTATGCTCAACACCTTGACTGATTTGAACGTACACTCTTACAAGCCAATAATTCAAGTCTGTTAATCAAGCACTAATACCCTGATCCTTCCTAAAACTAGATTAAACCCTAATCACAAAATTTAAAAAAATTTTCATCTCTTTACGAGAAATGACAATTCTAATCACATGCCCCTCAAAATTTCCACCAAATCATTTAAACTTCAAACTACTCCTAAATTTAATCCCAAATCAAACATGATGGAACCATAATCTTCACTCCTAAATTTAATCCCAAATCAAACATGATGGAAGTCTACCCAACCATAATCTTCATAATTGGAAAAAAAATTTAGAGCTGGATGTCATCCTAAATTTCTCCCTTACAGATCACTATTACTCCATTATATGTTATTATCATGCCCACCCCACCCCACTCCAGCCTGAAAAAATACTCATCCTCATCTTTGAGGATTGTTTATGACTATTATTCTCGCAAGAATGAGTTGCTTGTTTGAAATTTTTTTTTGCTATATCTTTAAAAGCAATATTTAAATTATCAGGTGCTCAATCAACTAATTATTATAATAATGGATACTATTTTGAGTGTGAAGAATATCAACCTCCTGGACTTGTATTTTCCGAACGCCAATGTTCCACTTTTTTAAAGCTTCCTCTGATCATTATCGATATCATCAACAATTACAGGAACGACATATCTATTGATTACTACCTTGAGCTATGTTATAGAACACAATCAAATAGATCTACCAGAACTCCCAATAATGCAAAAGATATCATAACAACAATATCGGCATTGCAGAATGAATAAAAAGATAATACAAATGCATGGTTTTCTGTTAAATTTGGCATTGATGTTTTTAGTTGTTTTCAAACCAATTACACATCAATTCTAGCAATCCAAAGTAGGAAGCTTGTTATGATAGTCATGAAACTTATTGATAAAGAATTCTCTAGGAACCAATAATACTCTTTTGATGATTACTCACTTGTTAGTAACATTCAAATTTGTATGCATGAATTGTTTGGTTTGGTGAAAAAAAAACAAAGATTAGTAAAATTATTAAATATTTACATATTCTCATGCAATTCGTCGTGACAAAGTTTAGAGATCTTACTATAAGAAGAGTTTTAATTCATAATTATTGGTAAGTACTGATAAATTTTAAATGAGAAGTCAAGTAAATTCATAAGAACTGTATTTCATTAGTTAGCTATTGCATCAACTGCATGGTTAGAAATATGACTATATAGATATTTGTATAATCTGAAAGCATAGTAAACATAATTTTATAAAATTTTTCCAAAATTTCAATTATTTTGTTGACAGGAATGCTTGTTTGGGATCTCTTTTATTTTTTATTTTCTATTTTCTATTTTTTGTTTTTATTTAATTTTTTTAAAACAAGATATGTTTGGTTATATGATTAAAGTATGGTTGTTTTTAAAAATTATCTTAATACTTAGAAATTATTTGAGTGGTTTCAAAAGTATGTTAATTTGTTTTTAAAAATAAAAATAATAATGTATAAAAAGCAAACTAAACAAACATATTCTTAAACACAAAGGAAAAACAAAAAACAAAGTTGATCTCAAAGAAGCGTTAAGGGATTGTTTGGGATCATTTTTTTTTGTTTTTTTGTTTTTTAAAACAAAAAATAGGAAACAAACAAAAAAATAGCGTTTGCGTATTTGTTTTTTTATTTTTTGGAGGAACACTTCTGTTTTTAAAATACTCAACAGAAAAAATATGTTTTTGTCTGTTTTTAAAACACTGAAAACAACAAGTCCCCCTGCCTGCGGTCGCCCGCCACCTCTTGTTGCCCTCCTCTTGCTGTTGGTCCCCTCCCAACATCGCCCGCAGGCCACTCGCCCCTGCTAACCGTTCGTTGTCATCCGCCTGCCTGCCCTGGTCGGCCCCTGGCCGCCTGTAGCCCTCCACCGGTAATAATTTATGTTGGTTGAGCAAGGAAAACACCGTATACATCATGGGCGACAGAGCTTAATACTAGAATGCACGTGGACCCAACTGATTTATAAAAAAGATATTTTTTTCTTTAAAAAAAATAAAAATATCCAACCAAACATGTTTTTATAATTTTTGTTTTAAAAAATATATAAATCATAATAGTAAATCATAACACATTTTTTAAAACTAGAAAACAAAAAACAAAACAAAAATAAAACATATTAAAAACAAAAATAAAAATAGAAAACAAAAAGTGATCCCAAGCAGGCACCAAATGTTTTGAGTGTTTTTAAAAACAAATAAAGTTGCTTTTAAAAACAAAACATAAAAGCATTCAAAAAATGCACTAACAAACATGTTTTTAAAATAAAAGTAAAAAATAAAAACAATAATGATCTCAAACAAGGCCTTTGTTTCAGAAATGTAACATGATTTTTTACTCTTCTTTGTAGGATGCTGCTTCGGTACGGTGTCTTCCTATAGGTGTTTTTCGTGGGTGCAATGAATGTGGCGATTGCCAGAAGGTTAATTTTTATATTTGGTTGGCATCCATTTTTCATATTGCTTGGACTTTTTATTGAATTCGCTCAATGATTGATTTCTTCTATAGATCGTAGCGAGATGGCGCCCAGAAGGATCATGTAGGCCCATACTTGATGATGCCCCTGTGTTCTATCCAAGCGAAGAGGTCTTCCCCTCCCTCCCCAATCTTAACATTTATTGAGGAGTGATTAACTATTGTTTGTTTCTATTTTCTTTACTCTTAGGAGTTCAAAGACACTCTAAAATATATCGCCAGTATACGCCCTACAGCAGAACTATATGGAATTTGTCGCATTGTTCCTCCCCCTTCATGGAAGCCTTCTTGTCCTCTTAAAGAAAAACATTTATGGGAAGGCTCCAATTTTACCACTCGAATCCAGAGAGTGGACAAGCTTCAAAACCGGGATACGACGAAAATGCTGTTGAGAAACCATAGAATGATGAAGCGGAAAAGGAGAAGGCTCGCTAAAATGAAGGCAGCTTACAATGAACCCAATTTAGATATTTCAGAAATCAACAAAACGGGGCCGTATTCTCAAAGATGCGGATTTGCACAAGGTCCAGATTTTAGTCTAGGCACATTTCAGAAATATGCAGATCATTTTAAGGAGCAATATTTTTGCAATAATTTAAATGCAAACTTAAGGTTTGAACAATGGGAGCCATCTATTGAGAATATTGAAGGGGAATATTGGCGAATTGTTGAGCACCCCACCGAAGAGCTTGAGGTATTGTGAG